TTAATGGGTAAACCAGGCTGCCTCCTAGTGAGAGCCTTCACTTCTCTTCACTTTAATAACAGACTCTAGAGCTTATCAAAGGAATGAAATCGAGCTTTGTTCTTTAATAGCATCTATTTCCCCCTTCTTCTGAAAACTGGGACATGTGCCTGCTTCAAGTTTTCTGATACTCCTCCTATTCTTCATAACTTCTTAAAAATTACCAGACACAGCCCTTTGAGCCCAACTACAAGTTCTTCCTATCTGGTCCTGCCAACTACCTCCTGACCCCCCAGTATTTACAGTGCCATGCCTGCACCGCCCCTGGGGCGCTCCTCACCTTCCGGGCTTGGATCCCCTTTCCCACCCGGCTGGGCTCCTTTTCCCATCTCTGGATCATTTGCTTTTGAGAGAAAAGGAGACAAGACAATACTAGCTGAGTAGTTCTGCTTTCTTTGAAGGTTACAGCAAGAGTCCCAAGCAATGGGCCTATCACTTCCTGATTCTTTTTCTTGTTCTAATCATACCGGAAAACGCCTTTTCTTGTCCAAAAAGCTTCTTAAGACTTCATACTGTCCATAAACCTTGTTTCCACACTTGCACAGGGAACTTGAACTTTCCCCCTATTAACTATATTTAACTGATATTTAAAGTTTTAAAACACAATTACTTTATCAAGCATTTTATAGGAAAATATTAGACTTTGACTTTACTTAGAGTGTTAGGAAAAACAAACGTTTATACACTGACAAGAATCATGGGGGGAAATACAGGGACTGTGTGATAGCTACTTGTTTTCCTTTTTCTTTCTTTCTTTCTTTTTTTTTTTTTTTTTAGGATTTATTTATTTATTTGAGGGAGAGAGAGAAAGAGAAGTCACACAGAGGGGAGGGACAGAGGAAGAGAGTCTTAAACAGACTCCATGCTCAGTGCCCAGGCAGCCGGGCTCGATTTCATGACCTGAAATCAACGCCTGAGCTGAAAGCAGGAGTGAGATGCTTAACTGACTGCGCCCCCCAGGTGTCTCTGTACTCCCTTTTCCCCTCATGTATATTCCTTAGTTCCTTTTCTCCATGTGTTCTTTTGGCTTATTTCCACAATTTTTGGTTTGCTTTCTTTCTGGCAACCATTTTTATTTTAAATTATTGGATAGAGATGTAGAAATTACTTGACTGGCACTAATTGCACAATTATGGAAACTAAAGAAATCACAGGATGCTGAACTGTTGGAAGACCGAACTGTTTTATATTTTTAACTGAAATAAAATTAATATACCATAAAACCTACCCTTTTAAAGGGTAAGATACGCTTCTCTGGTTTTTTGTAACTTCACAAAGTTGTGCAACTAACACTACTTTCTAATTTCAGAACATTGTCATCACCCCAAAAAGAAACCCTGTAGCCATTAGCAGTCATTCTCTATTCCTTTTTTTTTTTTTTTTAAGATTTTATTTATTTATTTGACAGAGAGAGAGGGAGAGAGAGAGAGATAGAGTGCACATAAGCTGCGGCAGAGGGAGAGGGAGAAGCAGGCTCCCTGCTGAGCAAGGAGCCTGATGTGGGACTTGATTCCAGGACCCTGGTATCATGACCTGAGTCGAAGGCAGCCGCTTAACCAACTAAGCCCCCCAGGCACCCCTCTATTCCTTTGGCAATGTGGGTTAAGCCTCTGCCTTCGGTTCAGGTCATGATCTCAGGGTCCTGGGATCGAGCCCCGAATAGAGCTCTCTGCTCAGCAGGGAGCCTGCTTCCTCTCCTCTTTGCCTGCCTCTCTGCGTACTTGTGATCTCTGTCTGTCAAATAAATAAATAAATAAATAAATAAATAAATAAAATCTTTAAAAAAAGATATGCCAACTGTGTGGTTTGAATTGATTAAAAAAAAAAAAAGATATGCCAACTGTGTGGTTTGAATTGATTTTCAGTGAGCCTCACCTCCTCTCAGAGGAAATGTCTTCCTTCACAGCACCTAGGCCCAGGTATTTTCTGGGGGAAGCTCTGAAATCTGTTTTCCTCAGGTTTTGGATATAAGCCTGGCTGGGCCCAATATCCACCCTTCCTTGGCTGTTACATAGTCTAAGACAACATGGCCACTTTTCCCCATACCCATCTCTTCTCCTTTTTTGGCTAAGTCTTACTGGTTAGAGGTAGAGCACCCATGGTTTCTCTCATAGCATCCTCTGCCTTCTGAGAAATAAAACTGACTTCTGAGAAATGAAACTGTCAGACGGTAGGTACATTAGCTGTTCTGCTTCTATCCCAAGAAAACTTTGACAAATACCTCCATCACATCTGAAGTCACCTTCTGGGCCAGTTTTGTGACCCATGTGAGGAGGGTCCACCAAGACTCTCCTTCCATATACTTCCATACACTTCTAAAAAGTAAGTATAGTTTTTGACACTCAGATTTTTCATCCATCCCATCTAGAAGACCTTTTAATTAGAACAAGGCACACATTTAATTTCCTCATTCCTGACAAAGTTTTGACTCACCATGTTTTTAGTGGGGCTCTTACTTCTTCCCAGTCAAGGGACAAAGGAGGGAAGAATGGTTTTATTAAAGGTATGCGATGCACACCAAAGGCCTTGCTGACTGGCTTTAGAATGAGAGAAGTTTCCTTCCTGTCAGTGCGGGCTCTGTGTTACCAGTGACCTCTTGGGATATACAGGAAGTCAGATGGATGGGAATCTTTGACTATGTAAATAGGTGTACCCCATAGCCAAGTATAAGCTTCTAGTGCTCAATGGCTAGAAACAAACAATCCAGGCACTGATAAGCTTCAGAGAAAAGACAGCCATGGATGCAGGCAGGATCCAGGAGGGTCAGCATCCTGGGCCAACTCCACTGCTTCCCAGGGCAGACTCTAGAGGGTAGCTGCCCTTTTGTTTGGGGCTTTCCTCTTAGGACTTAAGTCTCCTGCTCCTACCTCCGCTCTGAAACCAAACTCAGATCTCTGGTAGCTCACCAAGCTTCTTGCGCACCGTGATTTCCTTCTAATCTCACAGGTCCACTTTGTGCCCACTGCATAAGGACAAAGTCACTTAGGCCAGAGAAGGTCTCAAAGAGCAAGTGACCTCTTGGTAAGGTGACTGACTCCTCCCTCCCCCGAGGTCTCACCTGCCTCCCGTGCCTACTGAGAAGTGGTCCATATGGATGAAGTTCCCAGGAGTCAAGCCTCAAAATCGTTCTTACAAGGATGCTTAGCCATTCCACAGAGCTCCCCACAAATGATGAAAAAGAGAGAAGAGTGAGGCTATGTGAGCAGAGAGATGGCCACTTCACATCCTGGTGGGGACAGCAGCACCACGGCTCCCTAATCACACAGGGCAGTATAAAGCCCTGTGCCAGAGACAGACAGGAGGAAATGCCCAGGGTGCCATGAGCATGCCATTGCTCATGTCTGCGATTATTATAATTATGACAATGGCAGCTTCTGATCCCTTATCTGTGTGTTTCAAAAGGCCCACCTTCTACTCTTGTACACTTGGTCTCAATAAATCAGTATCCCATATACTTAAAAACTGGTTAATATTACCGAGACCTGAAAGGTATTGTCTTTCATCTTTCAAGGTACCGGTGACTGTGACTTTTTTAGGTTTGAGTGTCTGGGGTGATATATTTAATACTATTTTCACCTTATTAATAAACACCAAATTCCTTCAGTCTTCCTTCACTTTCACTTTACTATCTAGAACTATATTTCAATATAGTGTATTTGCTTTTGCTGAATTCATTCATAATGGATCAGTACTGTACGTCTGGATTGAACACATTTCCTGTAGTGACAACTACTCTATTTGTAGGAACTATTTAGGTCACTGGAGTGGAGAAAAAGAGACTGCTGTTTAATAGAAACAGCATATATCCAAATATAGGTGCAGTTTTCTGGATACCTGTTGAACATCAGTAATGAAGAGACTGTTACAATTTCCCAAACTGTAGACCAAAAGCTTAAATGATTTGTTTTAACTGACCTAGGGTTTAAGCCAGGAAGATAAATTTCCTAAGCAAAGAAAGTAAGCCTTGAAAGTGTCTTACTTCTGGTTTAGAAGTCACAGTCTTCTTCAAAAAGAAGTTCGTTTCAATGTAAATGATTTCCCAACAAAAATCACTTCAGACGAAGCCATATGATCTGAGCCTTAGCGCATGCACAGTAATTGTTTGCTTTTGGAGACAGAGCAAGCATGACAAATATTTTCAGTTGTCAAGGGAGGAGGGAATGACCCACCTAAGAAATGGAAACTAACGAATAGTAATATGACACTCCCCCTTAGTTCCACTGGGCGCCGACTGGGGCTGCTACATAGTTAACTTCCTACAGCCGGATAAAGGCGAGGCTGTGCAGGAGCTAATAAAAGCGGCCTCTCCACCCGCTCCCCACAACACTGTGGTGGGGGATGGCACACAAGGACTTTAATGGAAGGGGGTGTTGGAGAAGTACCCTCCCCTGTTGCCATTCATTCATTCATCCATTCATTCGATAAAGTTATGCGCTGGGGGTTTAATTCTTCAACTATGACTCAATAGCCCATTCCGATACCACACACACCCGTCCCCATTTCTAGCCCTAGGCCCCACTCGCTCATCAAGAAGATGCTTATTATAGCCTCGCTCTCCTCCCTCCCTTCCCCGGGTCCCCAGGCCAGGGTGACAGAACAAATCTAGTCGGAAGAGTCCTTTATCAAGAGTATGGAAGGAGGGCTCAGAGTACACGGAGAAGGGGTTCCGGGGACCTTCCTGCCTGCGTGGGGGAGAGGCAGCCCCTTCCCGGGCGGCCGCACCCCGGGCCGAGACGGAGGGCTCCCAGGCTGCGCTTTTGGACGGTGAACCTGAGCTCACGCCGATGCTGGAGGGGGAAACAGCCGCGGGGGGATTCCGCACCGGGGAAGCGGGCGCTGCAGGACGTCCGAGGGCGGTGGGAGGCTAGTGACAGCACCCGCACACGTGGGGAGGACCGCCCCCACCTAGGTGGTGGGAGCAGGGGTCCCGGCGAGGGCGACGAGCGGGCGGGGCGGGTTACCTGATGAAGGTGGTCTTGCCGGTGCTGTACTGGCCCACCAGCAGGATCATGGGCTTGTTATCGAAGTCGGCGTCCTCCAGCGCTGGCGAGTGGAACTCGTGGAAGCGGTACGCCTCCTCCAGTGGCAGCACCTTGCGCAGGTAGAGCGAGCGCAGGCCGCCAGTCACCGTCTGCACCGCGTCCGCGCCTCCCGCGCGCTCGCGCCCGCCCGCCTGCCGCCCCATCCAGCTGAACATCCTGCGGCCGGTCGGCGCCCCGCGCCCGCCCTCTCGGCGTCTGCCCGGCGCTCCCACCAGGCTCCGGGTCCGACCCTCCCCGGCTCGCACTGAGCTGTCCCAGCAGCTCTCGTCGCCGCCCGAGCTGGCCCCGCCTCGTGCCGTCGCAGCCAATCGCTGGTCGTTACGTCACGGCAACTCGTTCACTATTCAGAAGGGTCACTCAACTCCTTCCTCATTGGGTCGCTGCCAGCGCGGGGGTGGTGGCGTCAGCCAATGGAGAGGAGGTTCTTAATGAATTATTGATGACGGAGTCTCTCCGCGGGACTGGGCGCGGGAGAGGGTGTCCCCAAGCCCGGTGGCGCAGACGGGTCAGCGGAGGGCCCCCCCTTAGGTCGCGGGAGCCCCACCTCTGGCCAGGAGGCGTCGGCTTCCGAGCACATCTGAGCTGGCAAAAATGAGCCTCCGGAGACTGCTTAGTCTCCCAGGAAGTTTACCCCTCCCAGTCGATACTGGGGACAAAAGTGCAGAAGTTGATAGGCAGGTTCTTTCTACCGCTGGCGGGTTATTTACCTTCATTTTATTTCTGAAGAGACCTTGACTCACAGACATACTGACAAGATTTGAATAAGGGGAAGGAGACTCCAATTTACTTGGTTAGATATTCCTCCTACTTCACACTGCCTCCACTAAATTCTGGATAGATCGAAGGCCTTTTGCCCTTATTTTTCTTTATTTGATTAAATGTAAAATTGAGGGTTTAATCATCATCCTTATTATTATAACCTAATTACCACATAGGGATATGTAAAAGAGTTATTGCTACGGTCTAGCTCTCTCTTTCTCTGCTTAACAGGACACGTCTAAATTGAGACTGGAGAAATAATCAGCTATCACTTTTGGTGCTCTAGGTTTGAGAATATTTCTCAGTTGTTTTAGAGCCTTCCTCAGGTGTAATCCATGGAGTCACCTGCTTAAGAATAACCTGGGATACTTGTTAAAATGCAGATTTCTGCATCTCCCCCAGACCCACTGAGTTAAAGTATTGAGGAGGGATGGAGCTTGACAAGCGCTCCCAGGTGATTCTGACATACCCTAAATTTGGGGAAATATGCTACACAATAGTACTTCTCTAACTTGTTAGAAATGCAGATTCTGATTCCAGGGTGTGGGTTGGGAGCCCAGACTGCATTTCTAACAAGCTCTCAGGTGTTTCCAATGCTGTCTGTGGACTATACTTTCAGAGCCAGGGCTATGGTGAAGAGAAAACAGGACTCAGCATCAAGAGACCTGAGTCTGAATCCTGACGACTAAGTTAATGGCTATACGGCTTTAAATGCAATGAGCTTCTTCTCTGCCTCAGTTTCCTTGTTTGTAAAAATGGAAACTCCTTGGGAATTGTGTGGATCAAATATTTAGAGGAAGCTGTATGCAACTAGGGAAGTGAAAAGAAAGCCAAAGGAAAATGAACTTCGATATCTGCCTCATGTCAAAATAAAACAAAGGTTAAAAATGTAAAAATAAAAGAAACATATAGATGTACTAGAAGAAGGTACATGTGAAGATTTATGAAATTTTGGAAGGGAAAAGCTTTTCTAATCAAAACCAAAGACAGAAATTGTAAAGGAAAAGGTTGGCAGGAATTTCAACAAAAAAGTGAAGGCTTTAGTGTATTTTTTAAAATACAAACCCATGTAATCATACTCTTTACCATATGATCCAGAAATTGCACACCTTGGCATTTGCCCAAATAAGCTGAAAACTTATGTCTTCTAAAAACCGGACATGGATATTTAGAGCAGCTTTATTCATAATTGCCCACACTTGGAAGCAACCAAGATGCCCTTCACTGGACACACATCGTGGTACAACCAGCTGATAGAATATTATTCAGTACTAAAACGAAACGAACTATCAAGTCAGGGAAAGACACAGAGAAACCTTAAATCCATACTACTAAGTGAAAGAAGACAATCTGAAAAGGCTGCACACTCTATGATTTGACTATACAACATTCTTGAAAAGGCAAAGCTATGGGGACAGTAAAAAGATCAGTGATTGCCAGGGGTTAAGAAAGAGGGAAGGATGAAGAGGAAGAGCAAGGAGATTTATAGAATAGTGAAAATAATTCTGTATGATAATGTCATTATACATTTGTCCAAATTCATTGAACATATACCACCAAGAGTGAACCTTAATGTAAACTGTGGATTTGGGGTGATAATGATGTGTCAGTGTAGGCTAGATTCATTGATTTGAGTGAATCAGTTATACTCTGGTGGATATTGCTGGTATGGGATGTTGGCAATGGGAGGTTATGTATTGGGGAGGCAGGAGGTACATGGAAACTCCGTGTATTTTATGCTCCATTTTGCTGTGAATCTGAGACTGCTCTAAAATATTCTATTAAAAATAGTATATAGGGGCACCTGGGTGGCTCAGAGGGTTAAGCCTCTGCCTTCGGCTCAGGTCATGATCTCAGGGTCCTGGGATCAAGCCCCACATCCGGCTCTCTGCTCAACAGGGAGCCTGCTTCCCTCTCTTTCTCTGCCTGCCTCTGCCTACTTGTGATCTCTGTCAAATGAATAAATAAAATCTTTTAAAAAAATAATATATATAAAAAATAAATCCATAAACAAAGGTCAAAAACAAATTGGAAAAACTATTGACAGACATATATAATAGATATATTTAATTAAGGATAGTAGAACTTTAAAAGCTACTCTAAAATTATTAAAAAAGAAATGATGCTCCAGGGACGCCTGGGTGGCTCAGTTGGTTGGACAACTGCTTTCAGCTCAGGTCATGATCTCGGAGTCCCGGGATCGAGTCCCACATCGGGCTCCCAGCTCCACGGGGAGTCTGCTTCTCCCTCTGACCTTCTCCTAGCTCATGCTCTCTCTCACTGCCTCTCTTTCAAATAAATAAATAAAATCTTAAAAAAAAAAAAAAAAAGAAATGATGCTCCAATAGAAAATGAGCAGAGGACATAGACGACTAAAGACAAATATAATTGGCCAATAAACGTTAAATGATGCTAACCTCCATTAATAGTCAAAAACCATAAATTTAAAATAAATAGATAACATTAAGGATGGCAGGCCTATTTTTCTAAGATAATGCCTAATGTTGGCAAGAGTGTGGAAAAAGGTATCATCACATACATTATTGGATATGGTGTAAATTGGCACTTTAATGGTATCCATATTTATCAAAAATCTTGAAAATGCACATTCAAGATTTCTGCAACATCATACTTAATGGTGAATGCTAAAATCAGGAACAAGGTAAAGTTGTTTACTCTTATCACTTCTGTTCAATGTCATACTAGAGGTTCTAACCAGTACAATAAGAAAAAGAAAAGGTATCCAGATTGGATAGGAATAGGGAAAATTGTCTTTATTTGCAGAAGATATGACCATCTATGTAGAAAATTCTATGGAACCTACCAAAAAAGCTACTAGGATTAAGAAGTGAGTTTAGTAAGGGGATCAGATACAATACACTTATACAAAACCCAGCTATGTCTTTATATACTAAAACTGAACAATGGGACAATGAAATAAAAAAATCAATGACACTTATAATAGCATCAAAAATATGAAATGCTTAAGAATAAATCAGATTTAAAAATGTACAAGGTCTAGGGGCTCCTGGATGTCTCAGTAGGTTAAACATCCAACTCTTGATTTCATTGTAGGTCATGATCTTAGGGTTGTGAGATTGGGCCCCATGTCAGGCTCCGGGGCTTAAGACTCTCTCTCTCTCTGCCCCTCTCCCCTGCTCACGTGCATGCTCTCTCTAATTAAAAAAAAAAAAATGGACAAGGTCTATACACTGAGAACCACAAAACATTTCTGAAAATAAAAAAGGCCTAAAATAAATGGAGATATACACCATATACCAGGCTTATGGATCAGAAAATTCAAGATTGTTAAAATGTCAGTTTTCTCCAAACTAATGTATAGATTTAGCACAATTCCAGCAGGTTGTTATTTTTGTAAGAATTGACAGGCTGATTCCAAAATCTATATGTAAGTGCAAAAGATCTAGCCAAAATGACTTAAAAAAACTAACAAAGCTGGAGGACTTACACTACCTAATTTCAAGACTTATAAACCTACAGAAATCAAGACAAGACAGTGTGGTATTGGTATAAAGGTAGACTAATACATCAAAGAAATAAATAGAGCTCAGAAATAGACCCACAGATATATAATCAACTGATTTTTGACAAAGTGCAAAGGCAATTCAACGGATGAGGAAAATTCTTGTCAACCAATAATGCTACAACAATTGGATATCCTTATGCAAAAAATATAAACTTTGACCCATACCTTGCATTGTGTATAAAAATTAACTCAAAATGACTATGACATAAATATAAAACTTAAGGGGCACCTGGGTGGATCAGTGGGTTAACCCTCTGCCTTTGGTTCAGGTCATGATTAAGGGTCCTGGGATCGATCCCCACATTGGGCTCTCTGCTCAGCAAGGAGCCTATTTCCCTCTCCCCTGCACCCCCCACCTGCCTTTCTGCCTACTTGTGATCTCTATCAAAAAAATAAATCTTTTTTTAAAATGTAAAACTTAAAATTATGAAACTTCTAGAAGAAAACATCATACAGGGGTGCCTGGGTGGCTCAGTTGGTTAAGCAACTGCCTTCGGCTCAGGTCATGATCCCAGGATCCTGGGATCTAGCCCTACATAGGGCTTCCTGCTCAGTGGGGTGCCTGCTTCTACCTCTCCCTCTGCTGCTCCTCCTGTGTGTGCTTGCTTGCTCTCTCAAATAAATAAATAAAATCTTAAAAAAAAATAGTAGAAAACCTTTGGATATTATGTAGGGAAAGATTTCTTAGGTGATACCAAAAGCATGATCCATAAGAGAAAAAAATAAATTGGACTTCATCAAGATTAAGAACTTCTGATCTTTGAAGGATACTGTTAAGAAAATGAAAAGACAAGGCACAGACTATATTTTCAAATTACATATCTGATAAAGAACTTATATCCAGAATATACAAAGACCTCTTAAAATTTAATAATAAGAAAACAACCCAATTTAAGACATGGAGAAAAAATTTAAGC